ACATACACAGACACACCTGTACACACACCTGTACACACACCTGTACACACACACCTCTACACACACACCTGTACACACACATAGACACACCTACACATGCGCATTCTGAAGTGACCGGGTGTGAACTGGTATCTCCGAGGCTCAGCGAAGGAGGAGGATGTCAGCCTGGATATCAGCGCCATGAGTAGCAGGTGCTATAGGCTGCGTTCTAGTAGAGCGGAGGGAGGGCAATGGGAATGAGATTTGTTGTACTGTACTGTGCTGTGACTTCTATGCTCCCCACATCCACTCGATCGACCTCTAACATCGTCATCAGAAGAATCGGCAACAGCAGCAGAAGAAGAATCAGACGGAGAATAATAATCATCATCATCATCAGTCGTAGCAGAATAATCAGCATCAGAGTAATCGTTGAAGCTGATGCAGAATCTTGATTTGAAGCTTTCGTGACTGCAGGAATCAGATGCAGAATCACGAGCAGAATTGGCACGATCAGCAGCGGAATAATCATCATCTGTCGCAGAATAATTATCAGCACAATAATCATCATGAATGGCACGTGAAGAATAATCAGCAGCGGCATAATTAATATCATCATTATCAGCAGCAGCAGCAGAATCAGCAGCAGCAGAATAATGACACGATCATATATCATCATTATCTTATTATTATTGGAAGCAGCATCGTCATCATTACCACCGCAATATCATGCTCACGATCATCAGCAGTATGATCAGCAGCTGCAGAATCATCAGCACCGTTATCATCGTCTTGATCATATTAACAAAATCATCATCAGCAATAACATCACACCGTTACATCATTGCGATCATTACCATCATCATATCTATCAGCACCATCATCAGCATCATCATCATCATCATCAGTAGACTCATCAGCACCGTTATCATCATATTGATCATATCAGCAAAATCATCATCAGCAATAACATCACACCATTACATCATTGCGATCATTACCATCATCATCAGCACCATCATCATCAGCAGCACCATCATCATCAGCAGCAGCAGCATCATCAGCAGCATCATCATCATCAGCACCATCATCAGCACCATCATCATCAACAGCAATAGAACATGCCCCGCTGCCACAAACTAAGAGGTTCATTGACAGAATGCGAGCTCCATTCATGAGATGAGGAGAGGGTGGGGGGGGGTAGAGAGAGGCGGGTGAGAGATGCGAGAGAGGGGAGAGAGGGGAAGAAGAGGGGGGAGGGGAGGGGTAGAGAGATAGGGCGGAGAGAGAGAGAGAGAGGTGAGAGAGAGGGGAGGGAGATGGAGGTGGTGGAGGGGGAGAGACGTGAATGTGGGAGACATAGGGGAGGAGAGGAGGTGGTGGAGAGGGACATTCGGCAGAGAGAGGCGAGAGAGTGGGGAGAGAGGAGGAGTTAGAGAGAGAGAGTGAGAATGTAGCTGGTGTGGGAAGAGGAGATAGCAGAGAGCGTTATAGCGGTGAGAGAGGGAGAGAGAGAAGGGGAGAGTGCGGAGGGAGCGACAGGGCGAGACCTGGGAGAGGGAGGCAGAGAGATGGAGGAGGGCGGGTGGGGGGTGGGGAGCAGACAGAGAGAGAGGGGGTAGAGAGAGAGAGGGGGTAGAGAGAGAGGGGGTAGAGAGAGAGGGGGGTAGAGAGAGAGGGGGTAGAGAGAGAGAGAGAGGGGGTAGAGAGAGAGAGGGGGTAGAGAGAGAGAGGGGGTAGAGAGAGAGAGGGGGTAGAGAGAGAGGGGGTAGAGAGAGAGGGGGTAGAGAGAGAGAGAGAGAGGGGGTAGAGAGAGGGGGTAGAGAGAGAGGGGGTAGAGAGAGGGGGTAGAGAGAGAGGGAGTAGAGAGAGAGGGGGTAGAGAGAAGGGGGGTAGAGAGAGGGGGTAGAGAGAGAGGGGGTAGAGAGAGAGGGGGTAGAGAGAGAGAGGGTAGAGAGAGAGGGGGTAGAGAGAGAGGGGGTAGAGAGAGGGGGTAGAGAGAGAGGGGGTAGAGAGAGAGGGTAGAGAGAGAGAGGGTAGAGAGAGAGAGAGGGGGTAGAGAGAGAGGGGGTAGAGAGAGGGGGTTAGAGAGAGAGGGGGTAGAGAGAGAGGGGGTAGAGAGAGGGGGTAGAGAGAGAGGGGGTAAAGAGAGAGGGGGAAGGGGTAAGGAGGAGGGGTAAGCGTGCTTCTTGTTGTTGTTGTTTGTGTCTTCGAAGAAAGTAGCACAGATTGATTTTGTTGCACAATGGGAAAACACAGAGACAGAGAGAGCGAGCGAGCTCTTCGTGAAGATTTCCATATTTATATTCTTGGTTCTTTCGGTAAAGTCACCACGTAGAAGACAAACAATAAAATAATAAAAATATAAAACAATAAAATTCTCACGACGTTTCGACTGCAACACAAGCAATCATCATCAGGTGTGAAAACCACAACAAGAAAATGTTCTAATTTTCTTGTTTATATTCAAATTTTCTTGTTGTGGTTTTCACACCTGATGATGATTGCTTGTGCTGCAGTTGAAACGTCGTGAGAATTTTATTGTTTTATATATTTATTCTTTTATTGTTTCCCTTCTACGTGGTGACTTTACCGAAAGAACCAAGAATATGAATCCCTGCAGTCACGAAAGCTTTAAATCAAAAATACGTTCCATATTTCTAAAGAGAGGGGGAGAGTGAGGCTGTCTGTGGGCGTGTCTGATAGAGGAGGAGAGTGAGGCTGTCTGTGGGCGTGTCTTGAGAGAGGGGGAGGAGTGAGGCTGTCTATGGGCGTGTCTGAGAGAGGGGGAGAGTGAGGCTGTCTGTGGGCGTGTCTGAGAGAGGGGGAGAGTGAGGCTGTCTGTGGGCGTGTCTTGAGAGAGGGGGAGAGTGAGGCTGTCTGTGGGCGTGTCTTGAGAGAGGGGGAGAGTGAGGCTGTCTGTGGGCGTGTCTTGAGAGAGGGGGAGAGTGAGGCTGTCTGTGGGCGTGTCTGAGAGAGGGGGAGGAGTGAGGCTGTCTGTGGGCGTGTCTTGAGAGACGGGGAGAGTGAGGCTGTCTGTGGGCGTGTCCGAGAGAGGGGGAGGAGTGAGGCTGTCTGTGGGCGTGTCTGAGAGAGGGGGAGAGTGAGGCTGTCTGTGGGCGTGTCTTGAGAGAGGGGGAGGAGTGAGGCTGTGGGCGTGTCTTGAGAGAGGGGGAGAGTGAGGCTGTCTGTGGGCGTGTCTTGAGAGAGGGGGAGAGTGAGGCTGTCTGTGGGCGTGTCTGAGAGAGGGGGAGGAGTGAAGCTGTGGGCGTGTCTGAGAGAGGGGGAGAGTGAGGCTGTCTGTGGGCGTGTCTTGAGAGAGGGGGAGAGTGAGGCTGTGGGGGTGTCTGAGAGAGGGGGAGAGTGAGGCTGTCTGTGGGCGTGTCTGATAGAGGGGGAGAGTGAGGCTGTCTGTGGGCGTGTCTTGAGAGGGGGAGGAGTGAGGCTGGCTGTGGGCGTGTCTTGAGAGAGGGGGAGGAGTGAGGCTGTCTGTGGGCGTGTCTGAGAGAGGGGGAGGAGTGAGGCTGTCTGTGGGCGTGTCTTGAGAGAGGGGGAGAGTGAGGCTGTCTGTGGGCGTGTCTGAGAGAGGGGGAGGAGTGAGGCTGTCTGTGGGCGTGTCTTGAGAGAGGGGGAGAGTGAGGCTGTCTGTGGGCGTGTCTGAGAGAGGGGGAGGAGTGAGGCTGTCTGTGGGCGTGTCTGAGAGAGGGGGAGAGTGAGGCTCTCTGTGGGCGTGTCTTGAGAGAGGGGGAGGAGTGAGGCTGTGGGCGTGTCTTGAGAGAGGGGGAGAGTGAGGCTGTCTGTGGGCGTGTCTTGAGAGAGGGGGAGAGTGAGGCTGTCTGTGGGCGTGTCTGAGAGAGGGGGAGGAGTGAGGCTGTGGGCGTGTCTGAGAGAGGGGGAGGAGTGAGGCTGTCTGTGGGCGTGTCTTGAGAGAGGGGGAGAGTGAGGCTGTCTGTGGGCATGTCTGAGAGAGGGGGAGGAGTGAGGCTGTGGGCGTGTCTGAGAGAGGGGGAGAGTGAGGCTGTCTGTGGGCGTGTCTTGAGAGGGGGAGGAGTGAGGCTGGCTGTGGGTGTGTCTTGAGAGAGGGGGAGGAGTGAGGCTGTCTGTGGGCGTGTCTGAGAGAGGGGGAGGAGTGAGGCTGTCTGTGGGCGTGTCTTGAGAGAGGGGGAGAGTGAGGCTGTCTGTGGGCGTGTCTGAGAGAGGGGGAGGAGTGAGGCTGTCTGTGGGCGTGTCTGAGAGAGTTCCTCTCTAGTGACGTCACAGCGCACCTGTGTGGGACCCGCAGAGTCTCCGGCTGTCCCCGCGTCTCCCTCTAACTCCCCCGTGTCTCTCTCTAACTCCCCGTGTCTCTCTCTAACTCCCCGTGTCTCTCTCTAACTCCCCGTGTCTCTCTCTAACTCCCCGTGTCTCTCCCCGTGTCTCTCCCCGTGTCTCTCTCTAACTCCCCCGTGTCTCTCTCCGTGTCTCTCTCTAACTCCCCGTGTCTCTCTCCGTGTCTCTCTCCCTGTCTCTCTCTAACTCCCCGTGTCTCTCCCCGTGTCTCTCTAACTCCCCCGTGTCTCTCTCCCTGTCTCCCTCTAACTCCCCGTGTCTCTCTCCGTGTCTCTCTCTAACTCCCCCGTGTCTCCCCGTGAGTAACTGCTCGAACCTTTGCCATGATGTGATGTCCTACTGCACACCATCTGTGTCACCATCACCACCGTCACCACCATCATCACCACCACCGTCATCACCATCACCACTACCACCACCTGCACCACCTTTATGCACTGCTCCTGTGAGATTCGCCCACAGCTCATGGGCTGAGTTCGACGTTGATGTTTTTGGTGTTTACTGAAGTGGCAAGGAGTTGTAGGTTAAGATGTGACCTTTAGAGACGCAGCGAGAACAACAACAACAACAACATCATCATCATCATCGACACCAACATCAACAACACGAGCAACCACAACAACATTGTCATCACTCTCATTATCATCACAATCATCACTATCCTCATCATCAGTACCATCACTATCATCACTATCATCATCAGCATCATCATCATCAGTATCATCATCGCCACCACCACCGCCACCGTGAAGATTTCACGATGGCTCCGCTCGCCGTAGGCGCTCTGGCGGCAGGAGGCGTCACCTTGATGCTGCCTCCCGTGCCTCCACTCGTCCAGTACCGCGACCATCTCCTGCTGGTCCCACCTCAAGATGTCCAACACCACCACCAACACCACCACCAGCAGCAACAACAACAACATCATCATCACCATCAGAAGCAGAAGAAAAGCCATCACAACAACAACAACAACCGCCACCAGCAGCAGCATCACCACCATCATCACCATCATCAGCACAACAACAACAACAACAGGAGGAGGTTCGAGGAGGACAAAGTGGAGCAGGGAGCTGGTGTCTCTTCTCTGGGCGCCCTGCTGGGCCTCAGCGACGTGTCGCACTTGCAGGGCGGCGTGATCAGGAGGCGGCAGCTCTACTGCCGCACGGGACATCACCTCGAGATCCTCGCCAACGGAACCATACGTGGGACTCGCAGGGACCACAGCAGATTCGGTACGGGGTGGGGTGGGTGGGGTGGGGTGGGTGGGGGGGAGAGTACTGCCGTGGGATGGACTACTTGGCGATGTGGACTGTGACATGGTGGTTGGGCTGTGAGATCGACTACGAGATTGACCGTGAGATTGACCGTGAGATTGACCGTGAGATTGACTGTGAGATTGACCATGAGATTGACTGTGAGATTGACTTGTGAGATTGACCATGAGCTTGACTGTGAGATTGACCATGAGATTGACCGTGAGATTGACTGTGAGATTGACCGTGAGATTGACTGTGAGATTGACTGTGAGATTGACCGTGAGATTGACTATGAGATTGACCATGAGATTGACTGTGAGATTGACTATGAGATTGGCTATGAGATTGACTATGAGATTGACCGTGAGATTGACTGTGAGATTGACTATGAGATTGACCGTGAGATTGACCGTGAGATTGACTATGAGATTGACTGTGAGATTGACTGTGAGATTGACTATGAGATTGACCGTGATGTGGACTATAAGATGGACTATAAGATGGACTGTGAGATGGACCCGGGTTCGATTCCCGCTCACGGCCACCAACACCGGTGACGATTATCTGAACCGGTCCTGGGTCTCCTCTAGGACGACTCAGCCTCAAACGAGTACCTGGTGCGGTGTGTAGTGAACATGACCACTGGGGAGACAAAGGCGGCCGGGCGTGGTGCTGTCCACAAACCCCCTCGCGTGGCGTGTCGGCCTCCATAGGTGCTGCTCGCTAACAGCACTTGCCCCAACAGTGTGTGACAAGCTACACGGGTGACCTTTGTCTTTGTTTGAGAGGCAGTTGTGGAGAGAGTGGAGGAATTCCCGTAGCCTGGGCAGCGTCCTTACGAGCGGCTCCGCTTTGGTAGCGGAGGTGTCACTCCGAATCGGTCGAGCGGAATTCATCTTTTCGTCGCCTGCTGTAATGTCGTGTGGAAGCTACCTGGCCTGTCGCTCCTCCGTACGAAGCTTCGGGTCTTCTCGGCCACGGCAGATGACCATCCCTTGTCTACACTTGCGAAACGTGGACTCATCCCCCCCCCCCCCCTATATACATGGAAAATATTTCGCCGGTTTTAAACACTCGGGTTCTGGCCTGCCCACGATCCATCCTCCGTTGAACCTGCAGGCTGGAATGTGTTGAGGAGCTCCACAGATCCTTTCAAGATCTGGACACATTCCCATCGGTGAGTTCCTCCGGCAGGCGAGGCCGCGTTGGCTGTGTCACGTAGCCCGCATGCCCAGCCACCGCATGCCCCAAGCAGCTTCCGTTTGGCCGTATAGAGAGGGAGCTAAACGGGCGCGGCACGGGCTAGAGAAGAGATGGGTGAGTGGGTGAGTGAGTGGGTGAGTGACACGGGCTAGAGAAGTGATGGGTGAGTGGATGGGTGGGTGAGTGAGTGGGTGAGTGACACGGGCTAGAGAAGTGATGGGTGAGTGGGTGGGTGGGTGAGTGAGTGGGTGAGTGACACGGGCTAGAGAAGTGATGGGTGAGTGGGTGGGTGGGTGAGTGACACGGGCTAGAGAAGTGATGGGTGAGTGGGTGGGTGAGTGAGTGGGTGGGTGAGTGACACGGGCTAGAGAAGTGATGGGTGAGTGGGTGGGTGAGTGACACGGGCTAGAGAAGTGATGGGTGAGTGGGTGGGTGGGTGAGTGAGTGACACGGGCTAGAGAAGTGATGGGTGAGTGGGTGAGTGGGTGGGTGGGTGAGTGAGTGGGTGAGTGACACGGGCTAGAGAAGTGATGGGTGAGTGGGTGAGTGGGTGGGTGGGTGAGTGACACGGGCTAGAGAAGTGATGGGTGAGTGGGTGGGTGGGTGAGTGACACGGGCTAGAGAAGTGATGGGTGAGTGGGTGGGTGAGTGAGTGGGTGGGTGAGTGACACGGGCTAGAGAAGTGATGGGTGAGTGGGTGGGTGAGTGACACGGGCTAGAGAAGTGATGGGTGAGTGGGTGGGTGAGTGAGTGGGTGGGTGAGTGACACGGGCTAGAGAAGTGATGGGTGAGTGGGTGGGTGAGTGACACGGGCTAGAGAAGTGATGGGTGAGTGGGTGGGTGGGTGAGTGAGTGACACGGGCTAGAGAAGTGATGAGTGAGTGGGTGAGTGACACGGGCTAGAGAAGTGATGGGTGAGTGGGTGAGTGGGTGGGTGGGTGAGTGAGTGGGTGAGTGACACGGGCTAGAGAAGTGATGGGTGAGTGGGTGAGTGGGTGGGTGGGTGAGTGACACGGGCTAGAGAAGTGATGGGTGAGTGGGTGGGTGGGTGAGTGACACGGGCTAGAGAAGTGATGGGTGAGTGGGTGGGTGAGTGAGTGGGTGGGTGAGTGACACGGGCTAGAGAAGTGATGGGTGAGTGGGTGGGTGAGTGACACGGGCTAGAGAAGTGATGGGTGAGTGGGTGGGTGAGTGAGTGGGTGGGTGAGTGACACGGGCTAGAGAAGTGATGGGTGAGTGGGTGGGTGAGTGACATGGGCTAGAGAAGTGATGGGTGAGTGGGTGGGTGGGTGAGTGAGTGACACGGGCTAGAGAAGTGATGGGTGAGTGGGTGGGTGGTGGGTGAGTGAGTGGGTGAGTGACACGGGCTAGAGAAGTGATGGGTGAGTGGGTGAGTGGGTGGGTGGGTGGGTGAGTGACACGGGCTAGAGAAGTGATGGGTGAGTGGGTGGGTGAGTGGGTGGGTGAGTGAGTGAGTGAGTGACACGGGCTAGAGAAGTGATGCGTGAGTGGGTGGGTGAGTGGGTGAGTGAGTGAGTGAGTGGATGGGTGGGTGAGTGAGTGGGTGAGTGACACGGGCTAGAGAAGTGATGGGTGGGTGAGTGACACGGGCTAGAGAAGTGATGGGTGAGTGGGTGGGTAGGTGAGTGAGTGACACGGGCTAGAGAAGTGATGCGTGAGTGGGTGGGTGAGTGGGTGAGTGAGTGAGTGGATGGGTGAGTGAGTGACACGGGCTAGAGAAGTGATGGTGTGATGGGTGAGTGGGTGAGTGGGTGAGTGAGTGAGTGGATGGGTGAGTGAGTGGGTGAGTGACACGGGCTAGAGAACAGATGGAGTGATGGGTGAGTGGGTGAGTGAGTGTGTGGATGGGTGAGTGAGTGGGTGGGGGAGTGACACGGGCTAGAGAAGTGATGGGTGAGTGGGTGGGTGGATGGGTGAGTGAGTGGGTGAGTGGCACGGGCTAGAGAAGAGATGGAGTGATGTGGTACAGGAGGACGTGGAGCTGAGTGGAATTGCCGATGACCGCTACCAGCGGTGTCAAGATCGGCCTCTGTGGGAAGAGGAGGCTCATGAAGGACAATGCTACTGGGGCAGTGCTAGGCTAGGTGCACCTTGAGGCTACTGGGACAGTGCCAGGCTAGGTGCACCATGAGGAGGCTACTGGGGACAGTGCTAGGCTAGGTGCACCTTGTGAAGGCTACTGGGGCAGTGCCAGGCTAGGTGCACCTTGAGGAGTCTACTGGGCAGTTGGAGGCAGTCGCCCTCCAGCAACAACGGAGGGCGGAGGAGCGACGCTCACAACAACGAGCGGAGCGCCGGGGCGGATTAAACGCAACGAGTTGGCACAGTAGGGGGCACAGGTGGTGCATCAGCCAGTCATCTCAGTCAGTCGACCCTTGGCACCTGGGTCTGCCCAGTGACCTCCTGCCAACGGGCGTTCGACACTTCACGTGGCCTCACGGTGCACATAGCCTGGCACAAGCGTCGTGGTGACGTCACCGCCACTTAGTGGCGAATGGCGGTTGTTGTTGTTGTATACATGTAGGTGTATGTGTGTGTATACATGTAGGTGTATGTGTGTGCACAATACAGTGTGCTAGATGTGGTGACACGTGTGTGTGTATGTGTATGTGAAGGTGTAAGTGTGTTTGTGTGTAGGCTTAGTGCAGTGTGCGTGACGTGTTGACACGTGTGTGCGTGTATGTATGTGTGTCTATGTGCGTGTAGCGGTTAGGGCGCTGCGCTATGAACCTGGCGACCCGGGGTTCGATTCCCGCTCACGGCCAACACCAGTGACGATTATCTGAACCGGTCCTGGGCCTCCCCTAGGTCGACTCAGCCTCAAATGAGTACCTGGTGCGGTGTGTAGTAAACATCGCCACTGGGGAGACAAAGGCGGTCGGGCGTGGTGCTGGCCACCCACCCCCTCGTGTACCGTTCCGGCCTTCATAGGTGCTCGCTAACAGCACTTGCCCCTACAGTCTTTTAAGGCTATACGGGGGATCTTTGTCTTTGTATGTGTGTGGGGAGCGGTAGTGTAGCGGTTAGCGCGCTGCACTACGAACCTGGCGATCCGGGTTCGATTCCCGCTCACGGTCAACACCGGTGACGATTATCTGAACCGGTCCTGGGCCTCCCCTAGGTCGACTCAGCCTCAAATGAGTACCTGGTGCGGTGGATAAAAACATCGCCACTAGGGAGACAAAGGCGGTCGGGCGTGGTGCTGGCCACCCACCCCCTCGCGTGCCTGTTAAGGCTACACGGCGAAGCTGTCTCTGTAATTCGTACCGGTGTTGTAACTGCCGCGCCTGGAGATCGCATCGACCTGCGTTGTAATACCGTGGTGAGATGTTAACTACCTCGCCATGTCTACAGGAGGTGGTGGGTTTGATCCCGACACTGACGACGCCTGCTGCTGCTGTATATTTGGAGTTTGCGTGTCTCTCTCTCCATGGTCACTGCTGCTGCTGTTGGGAATGTCCACGTGGCCACGACGAAGAGCGCCGTCTCTCTGTAGCCCTCAATTTGTGATATCCAGCGTGGCTGATGTAAATTAAAAGTGGCGTAGCACTGTCGTAGTAGCGGTAGGAGGAAGTTCGCGAGAGGGGCCTGGAACCGATGATGGGCATAGCCGGGGCCCGTGGCTCGGCGACGCTTCGCACCGTACATAGCCAACCGCGTGTGCGTCTATGGGTCTTTGTGTGAGTCGGTGGGTCTCCGTGTGAGACTATGGGTCTCTGTGTGAGTCTGTGGGTCTCTGTGTGAGTCTATGGGTCTCTGTGTGAGTCTGTGGGTCTCAGTGTGAGTCTATGGGTCTCTGTGTGAGTCTGTAGGTCTCAGTGTGAGTCTATGGGTCTCTGTGTGAGTCTATGGGTCTCTGTGTAAGTCTATGTACGTATGCTGAACTTCTTTCACACCGTGCGTAGCCAACCGTGCTGATCGGAGGTGCTTGGGGTAAGGAAAACGACACTGATCACAACACCAGCGAGCTGATTCCGCGTCTCTCCGTCGACTTGCGATAGACGAACGCCCCCCCCTCCCCCGCAATTCCCACGGCAGTGAACGGAGTGGTGAAGTATGGTTAACGAGCACCCGCTGCTGCGTCACCTGACTGGGTGGGTGGGTGAGAGTGTGGGTGAGAGTGAAGGAGAGTGGGTGGGTGAGTGAGTGAATGAGTGGGTGAGTGTGTGGGTTGATGTGTGGGTGAGTGTGTGGGTGAGAGTGTGGGTGAGTGTGTGGGTGAGTGTGTGGGTGAGAGTGTGGGTGAGTGTGTGGGTGAGAGTGAAGGAGAGTGTGTGGGTGAGAGTGTGGGTGAGTGGGTGAGTGTGTAGGTTGGTGTGTGGGTGAGTGGGTGGGTGAGTGTGTGGGTGAGTGGGTGGGTGAGTGTGTGGGTGAGAGTGTGGGTGAGAGTGTGGGTGAGAGTGTGGGTGAGAGTGTGGGTGAGTGTGTGGGTGAGTGCGTGGGTGAGAGCGTGGGTGAGTGTGTGGGTGAGTGTGTGGGTGTGTGGGTGAGTGTGTGGGTGAGTGTGTGAGTGTGTGGGTGAGTGTGTGAGTGTGTGGGTGGGTGAGTGGGTGTGTGTGGGTGAGTGTGTGGGTGAGGGTGTGGGTGAGTGTGTGGGTGAGTGTGTGGGTGAGAGTGTGGGTGAGTGTGTGGGTGAGTGTGTGGGTGAGAGTGAGAGTGTTATCAGAATCTTTATCCTGGAAGAGGGGGTGAGGGAGAGCGAATTGAAGGGTTAAGAAGACGGCGGAGAGGGTAGGAGGATGGTGGGGGAGAGGGAGGATGGGGGGTGGGGGAGAGGGAGGATGGAGGGTGGGGGAGAGGGAGGATGGGGGGTGGGGGAGAAGGGGGAACGAGGCAGAGAGGAGGGAGAGACGAAGGCAAACTATATAAACTACTAAACTATTATTTTATTTGACCAGGTAAGACCCCCACTGAACTTCTATGTTGCTCGAATCTCGATGAAGTGGGCTTATCAATGTACATATGTAGAGTAGCAGCCCCAAATTACTCTAAACGCGTGATGTAGATTTTACACGTGGAGGGGAAAACTCCAGGGGATCCGGAGAAAAATCCACGCGACCACGGGGACAGAGAGACACACAAATATACAGCAGCAGCAGCAGCAGGCATCATCAGGGTCGGGATCGAACCCACGACCTCCTGTATACCAGGCGAGGTAGTCAACATCTCCTAGCCACTGTGATGATGATAATGATGAGAGAGAGACACACAAGTAGGGATCGAACCCAGGACCTCCTGCAGACCAGGCGAGGTAGTCAACATCTCCTAGCCACTGTGATGATGATGAGAGAGAGACACACAAGTAGGGATCGAACCCAGGTCCTCCTGCATACCAGGCGAGGTAGTCAACATCTCGTAGGGAGGAGAGGGGCAGGGAGGCTGGAGTTGACAGGTCGAAGTTGGTCGGTGTCTGTCCACAACTCAGCCCCTCGTGTGCCACTCTGACGCCCTTCATAGACTGCTGCTGATGCTGCTAATCGCTCGCAGCTATCTCGTACATTGGTCCAACGTTGAACCAACGTTGGTTCAACGTCGGCGTGTAGTTGAACCAACGTTGGTTCAACATCGGCGTGTGGTTGAACCAACGTTGGTTCAACGTCGGCGTGTAGTTGAACCAACGTTAGTTCAACGTCGGCGTGTGGTTGAACCAACGTTGGTTCAACATCGGCGTGTGGTTGAACCAACGTTAGTTCAACGTCGGCGTGTGGTTGAACCAACGTTGGTTCGACGTCGGCGTGTGGTTGAACCCAACGTTGCAGCAACGTTGCAGCAACGTTGGCACTGTGTTTTCCCCAGGCATACTGGAGTTCTTCAGCATCGCCGTGGGCCTGGTGAGCATCCGTGGGGTGGACACCGGCAGATTCCTGGCCATGAACGACAGAGGGGAGCTCTATGGAGCGGTGAGACATCACCATCAGCACCATCATCAACACCATCATCACCATCATCATCAACACCATCATCAAGACCATCATTATCATCAACACCATCATCATCAACACCATCATCAACACCATCATCACCACCATCAACACCATCACCAATATCATCATAAACACCATCATCATCACCACCACCATCACCATCATTATCATCAACACCATCACCACCATCATCAACACCATCACCACCACCATCATCACCACCATCATCATCACCATCATCACCATCAACACCATCATCATCATCAACACCATCCTCAACACCATCATCACCACCATCATCACCAACATCAACACCATCACCAACATCATCATAAACACCATCATCATCACCACCACCATCACCATCATTATCAACACCATCACCACCACCAACACCACCACCACCACCAACAACACCATCACCACCACCACTCCCATCAACAACACCATCATCACCACCACCACCACCAACAACAACACCATCATCATCACCACCACCCCCATCAACAACACCACCACCAACAACAACAACACCATCATCACCACCATCATCACCACCATCAACACCACCATCAACACCATCACCAACATCATCATAAACACCATCATCACCACCACCACCATCACCATAATTATCATCAACACCATCACCACCACCAACACCACCACCAACAACACCATCACCACCACCACTCCCATCAACAACACCATCATCACCACCACCACCACCACCAACAACAACACCATCATCACCACCACCCCCATCAACAACACCACCAACAACAACACCATCATCACCACCATCATCACCACCATCAACACCATCACCAACATCATCATAAACACCATCATCACCACCACCACCATCACCATAATTATCATCAACACCATCATCACCACCATCATCAACACCACCACCACCCCCATCAACAACACCATCATCACCACCACCCCCATCAACAACACCAACATCACCACCACCACCACCAACAACACCATCATCACCACCACCCCCATCAACAACACCATCATCACCACCAACAACACCATCACCACCCCCATCAACAACACCATCATCACCACCACTCCCATCAACAACACCATCATCACCACCACTCCCATCAACAACACCATCACCACCACCCCCATCAACAACACCACCAACAACACCATCACCACCACCACTCCCATCAACAACACCATCACCACCACCCCCATCAACAACACCACCAACAACACCAACATCACCACCACCACCCTCATCAACAACACCACCACCACCAACAACAACACCATCATCACCACCACCGGTACCACCCGTACCACCCGATCTCTCCCTGTAGACGCAGCTGAGTGCGGAGTGCGTCTTCAAGGAAGAGTTCGAGGAGAACTGGTACAACACTTACTCCTCCAGCCTCCACCGACAGCGGCCGAGTGGGAGGCGCCTCTACCTGGCGCTCAACCGAGACGGCAGCGCGCGCGACGCCACGCGGACGCGACGCACGCAGCGCTTCGCGCACTTCCTGCCCAGACACGTGGCGCAGCAGCCTCAGCAGCGGCAGCGGCAGCAGCAGCAGCCGCAGCAGCAGCAGCAGCCGCAACATCTGCGGCAGCAGCAGCGGCAGCAGCCGCAGCAGCAGCCTCTGGAGAGGAGCGGCCCGGTTCAACAGCGGGCGGCGGACAAACTTGACAACACCTGAACGGGTCCGGAGATTTTCGGGGGGTTTTTTTTTGGGGGGGGGGGGGTGTGGGGATAGGACCGGAGCCGTTCGTCAGTGCCAGCCAGACAGACAGCCAGCTAGGCAGTCAGACAGCCAGCCAGCTAGCCAGCTAGGCAGTCAGACAGCCAGCCAGCTAGGCAGTCAGACAGCCAGCCATCTAGGCAGTCAGCCAGCCAGCTAGGCAGACAGCCAGCCAGGCAGTCAGCCAGCCAGTCAGCCAGCCAGCCAGACAAACAGCCAGCCAGGCAGTCAGACAGCCAGCTAGGCAGTCAGCTAGGCAGTCAGACAGCCATCTAGGCAGTCAGCCAGCCAGCCAGGCAGTCAGCCAGCTAGCCAGCTAGGCAGTCAGACAGCCAGCCAGCTAGGCAGTCAGACAGCCAGCCATCTAGGCAGTCAGCCAGCCATCTAGGCAGTCAGACAGCCAGCCAGCTAGGCAGTCAGACAGCCAGCCAGCTAGGCAGTCAGCCAGCCAGCTAGGCAGTCAGCCAGCCAGCTAGGCAGTCAGCCAGCCAGGCAGTCAGCCAGCTAGGCAGTCAGCCAGCCAGCTAGGCAGTCAGTCAGCCAGCTAGGCAGTCAGCCAGCCAGCTAGGCAGTCAGCCAGCCAGCTAGGCAGTCAGCCAGCCAGCTAGGCAGTCAGTCAGCCAGGCAGTCAGCCAGCCAGTCAGTCAGCCAGCCAGCTAGGCAGTCAGACAGCCAGCTAGGCAGTCAGACAGCCAGCTAGGCAGTCAGCCAGCCGGCAAGGCAGCCAACCAGCCGGCTAGGCAGTCAGATGGCCGGTGAGTTAGCCAGTTAGCCAGCCAGCTAGTCAGTCAGGCGGCCAGTTAGCCAGCCAGCTAGCCAAACTTGTATTCTTTCTCCAATGGATTCGGGGGGCTCCGTGTGTGTACACGTCTGTGTACACGTGTGTGTACACGTGTGTGTACACGTGTGTGTACACGTGTGTGTACACGTGTGTGTGCGCGTAGCACAGTAGGAGGCACAGGTGGTGCATCAGCCAGTCATCTCAGTCAGTCGGCCCGTGGCACCTGCTGGGTCTGCCCCGTGACCTCCTGCCGGCGGGCGTTCGACACTTCACGTGGCCTTCACGTGCACCTAGCCTGGCACAACAAGCGCCGCGGTGACGTCACCGCCACTTAGTAGCGAATGGCGGCTGCTGCTGTTGTTGTTGAGGGGAGCGGTGGTGCAGCGGTTAGCGCTACGCTGCGCTCCGAACCCGGCAACCCGAGTTTGATTCCCGCTCACGGCCACCAACACCACCGGTGACGATTCTCTGAACCGGTCCTGGGCCTCCGCTCGATCTACTCAGCCTCAAATGAGTACCTGGTGCGGTGTGTAGTAAACTGGGGAGACAAAGGCGGCCGGGCGTGTTGCTGGCCACCCACCCCCTCGTGCGCCACAGTGCCGGCCTTCACAGGTGCTGCTCGCTAACAGCACTTGCCCCGACAGTCTGTTACAGGCTACACGGGGGATCTTTGTCTTGGTTTGTTACTGCTGGGGGAGAGGAGTGGGGTGGTGGATTAACTTCTGATGATGATGATGGGGGAGGAGCTAAGACGCCGTTGCCACAAGATGTCTCGCACCCCACCCGACCCACCACGCCTACGGCACCTGGCGAGGGCCTGGGTGGTGACCGCGCACCTGAAGGCCAACCCAGACTCACGACGCCTGAGATCGGATGACCTCCCCCCGGGTGATCCATGGACGACCCCCTTGATGACCTCCTTGATGGCCTCCCGGATGACCCCTAGATCACCCCTGGATGACCCCGGATAACCTCCCGGATGACCTCCCGGATGACCCCTGGACGATCTCCAGGATGACCCCTGGATGGCCTCCCGGATGACCCCTGGATAACCTCCTGGATGACCCCCGGATGACCTCCCGGAAGACCCCCCGGATGACCTCCCAGATGACCCCCGGAAGACATCTGGATGACCTCCTGGATGACCTCCCAGATGGCCCCCGGAAGACACCTGGATGACCTCGATGACCTCCTGGATGACCTCCGCCGGATCGCGACAGAGCCGTGGACTTCTGGGGCAAGGGGCCCCCACGCTCTCGCTGTTCTGATGGCTCGATGTTCGTGTCGCCATGCCCTCCACCACCCACTGAGTGCGCGTGCCTTGAACTTCTTTCGCACCGCACGTGGCCGAACCGTGCCGATCGCGTCGAGCTCTCGGTGAGGGCGGTGCGGGGTGAGGAGGGGGGGGGGGGGTGGTGAGGGAGTGAACAATCGAGGGGAGCGGTGGCGCAGTGGTTAGCGCTGCACCGGGCACACGTTTGATTCACAGCTGCCCGCCCGCTGAAAACCACGTGACGAGCATCTGCCGGACCCGGTATCTGGGCTCCGAGCCCAGGTCGACTGAGCCTCAAACGGGTACCTGGTGCGGTGTGCGCGTGTGAACCCGGGGGGGGAGAGACAAAGGCGGCCGGGAGGTGGTGTTCGTGGGCTGGCGCTCGTTAACGGCAGTCTGTTCTGGAGGGGGCAGCCTTCGTCATTTGTGAGTCCCCTTGCAGGCGTTCGTGATATCCGGGATCACCACCACGTGGACTCACTCACCACACGAACCCGCTGAGACGGTGATGATGATCGTGATGATCGTGATGATGATCATCATTCTGGGCTGCAGAAGGCTCCACGTGTTAACTTTAAACGCTTGTTCCAAGTCACGAGGACAACATCGTACGCAACTAATAACTTTTAATGATTTTTTTATCCTTCCGTCCTTAGCTTTGTCGCAACCCTTAAGATATATTTATTGGTAAGTTAAGATCCTTTCCGTTCGCGTCTTTGACTTAAGTGCCACCTGCCATGTCAAGCCCTTCTCTCTCAAGATGCGTGTACAAATATTTATTTTTGTATTTATTAAATTGGTTTTATGATCACGACTACAAGCCGCGGGCCTGCGTGATTTCCCCCCCCCCCGGATTCCGTGGGTGAGAGAGACAAAGGCGGCCGGGCGTGGTTTCTGGCCACATCACCCCCCTCGCTTGCCACCAATGCCGGCCTCCAGAGGTGCTCGCAAACAGCACTTGACCCCCAAGTGTTACAGGCTACACGGGGGATCTGTGCACCAAAGTCAAAGATCCCCCGTGTAGCCTCAACAGACTGTAGGGGCAAGTGCTGTGAGCGAGTAGCAGCACCTGTGAAGGCCGGCACGGCACACGAGGGGGTGGGTGGCCAGCACCAAGCACGCCCGGCCGCCTTTGTCTCCCTAGTGGCGATGTTTACTACACACTGCACCAGGTTCTCGTTTGAGGCTTAGTCGACCTAGGGGAGGCCGTGAGTGCGAATCGAACTCGGGTTGCCGGGTTCGGAGCGTAGCGCTTACCCGCTGACGCTCCCCACTACCACACACAGACACGTGTGTGTGTACGCGCGTGTGAACACGTGTGAACACGTGTGTGTAGGCGCGCGTGTGTGGACACGTGTGTGTGTGTACACGTGTGTGTGTACACGTGTGTGTGTACGCGCGCGCGTGTGTGGACACGTGTGTGTGTGTGTACGTGCGCGTGTGGACACGTGTGTGTGTGTGTACGTGCGCGTGTGTGGACACGTGTGTGGACACGTGTGCGTGTACACACGCGCGCACACACAGACACACCGCACCAGGTGTGCTGGCCAGGTAATGTGTACTGGGGGCAGGAATCCCGTCCTATCTCTCTGCCATCTCAATGCGCGCGGTGGATTCCCTAATAAGGCGTCATCACGTTACCTCTCGGGGGAGATGTTGAGAGGATTTGACAACAGACTCACTCGCATCGCAGAGACAAAGCTCCCCCGTGTTGCCTTCACAGACTGTAGGGGCAAGTGCTGTTAGCGAGCAGCACCTATGAAGGCCGGCACGGCACACGAGGAGGTGGGTGGCCAGTACCACGCCCGGCCGCCTTTGTCTCCCCAGTGACGATGTTTACTACACACCGCACCAGGTACTAATTTGAGGCTCAGTCGACCTGGGGGAGGCCCAGGACCAATTCAGATAATCGTCACCGGTGGTGTGGCCGTGAGCGGGAATCGAACTCGGGTGGCCTGGGTTCGTAGTTCAGCGCGCTAACCGCTCCCACACACAGACACGCGATTTCACCAACCCATAGACACACACACACGCGATTTCACCAACCCATAGACACACACACACAGACACACACACAGACACGCGATTTCACCAACCCATACACACAGACACGCGATTTCACCAACCCATAAGACACACACATTCCTACAGTTTTCGGGTAGTGTCAGTCTGTGTCTGCATCAGTCTGTGTTTGTCAGTCTGTGTGTCAATGACACACACACAGTGACACACACACAGCGACACACACACAGCGACACACACACAGTGACACACACACAGTGACACAGACACAGTGACACAGACACAGTGACACACACACAGTGACACACACACAGTGACACAGACACAGTGACACACAGTGACACAGACACAGCGACACATACATTGACACACACACAGTGACACACACAGTGACACACACACAGTGACACAGACACACACAGTGACACAGACACAGCGACACATACATTGACACACACACAGTGACAGACACACACACAGTGACACAGACACACACACAGTGACACACACAGTGACACAGACACACACACAGTGACACACACAGTGACACAGACACACAGTGACACAGACACACACACAGTGACACAGTGACACAGACACAGTGACACACAGTGACAGACACACACACAGTGACACACACACACACACAGTGACACACACAGTGACACACACACAGTGACACAGTCAACATAAACAAACCGGCGAGGGTCCAGGCGACTAACAAATCCAAGTCTCGCGCACACCAAA